CACGCCTAGGGCTGCTCAGTGAATTAGCACAGGGAACTAATCCACATCAGCTGGTTTGTTGCTGGGAGGTGAGGCAGCAATTCCCCTCCCCACCATTTATTTCTGATTTGGTTTATCAGATCTACCAGCCCGTGTGAAGAGCCCAGATCAGGAACTGCCACCAGACAGCAGTTCATTAAATGGTGCTGCTTCTTCAGCTTTTAAATGAGCTAAGAGCTAGAAGAGATGTGCCTGCCTATGCCACAACCACTGCTTAAATGGAAGAATCAACACCCTTAGCACAGCAAGATTTAAGCAAATTCCTGTTGAGGCCCACAGAAAAAAAAAAATTAAAAAAAAAAAAATCAGTACTGGTGCTGTCAGCACATCATTAAGAAGCAGTACAGAATAGGTGAAATCAAACACTTTGCAGTATGGTTTGAGAGACTCAAACGTATCCAGCAAGGACCCAAAAGCAGTAATGGGTGCAGAATATGGAAAAGAACACCTCTTACCCCAAAAGTAGGCCTCTGCTTCCCAGACTGGGAACTCATTACCTCTACTTTCCAGCCCTGCCAGAGCACTGTGCATGCTCACCTACATAGTCTTTGGAACCACAAGAAGCTGCACCTATCTACTTCTGTAACCAGTAGCTTCTTTCATTTACAAAACCCTTGAGTACCAAATCTTTACATAGCCAAAGTGGGTGAACCCTTAAGCACCAGAGCACCTCTGTAACTCCTCTTACTGAATTCAGCAGGGAAAAAAAAAAAAGTTTTCAGTGTGAAACTTTATACTAGGCCATCCTTTTGATACCTTCTCTCTGCAACCCCGAAGTCCCCTTTCCCTAAGAGCGCTTAGCTTTTCAGGTAAAGTGTCTAAATGTATCTGACATTTTTATTTTCTCTTTATTCCACAGCATCCTTGAGACTCCACGCTGGAGTTCTTCCTTCTCGTCAGGTCAGGTTCCATACAGATACCTGCTCAAGGGTCCAGCTTACTCTCAAGTTAGATGCAAAAAAGGGTTTTACGTGAAGCACATCGACAGAGTCCAGCCCGAAGAAGCAGAAAGAGAGGGAACTCAATGTAAGCCCACGGTTACCGACACGGCGTGCCGCAGCCCCCCCAGTGCTTGTGCAAAGTTCACTTTTCACCCATCTCCGCCCGAAGCCCGGTACCCGGCGGCTCTTCACCGCACGAAGCTCCTCTCACACAGCGGCAAGCAGCTCCCAGAGGCTGCCCAGCGGCCCGGGAGCTACCGTAAGGCCGGCCCGGCACCGGAGAGGAGCCAACCCGGGGGCGGGGGTGGAAGGAGGAGGAGTACGGCGTGTGCTCCAAGCCGCTCGGGGCCGCGTTTAAACGCCGGCTGGGGCCCGCGGCTCCCGTGAGGCGGAGGCGGCACTGTTGAGTCTGGCAGCCGCGGGGAGCCGGGCGGGCCGGCCGCGGGCCCTGCCTGCCGGCGCCCTCCCGCCCCCCTCCGGAGGCTGCCGCCTCCCGTTACGCAACGACCGGGCGGGCCTCGGGGGGCACCGGCCCTTCGCCGGGAGAGCACCCGCCGCCGTCCGCCGCCGCCACAGCGCTGCCACGTATGGCCCCCCCACCCCACC